ATAGTGTGACGATTATCTTAATTTTATTATTCCTTTTTCCTAATATCAAGTTATATTATATGAAAATATTCAAGTCTGAACTTGTCTATTAAATTTTTTTTATTTGATACCAACACTTCCTTTTATTTATTCCCAGTGATATTAAGATTTTAACCTTGCTTATTGCCTTATGCATTGCGGATTAGCGCCCAACTAAAGTGTTATAATCGTATATACTCATATGTATATATAACTATAAATCAGGGCTTCCATTCCATTGTCTTATATGTTTTGGTCACAATTATTTCTTTAGAATATCGTAGAGAATCTACTATACAGGGAACCTTGTACCTTATCGAGCTTGGCTGAGATAGCAATATAATTAGCATATAGAAAGTTAGTCCGCGATTTATTTAAATCGACTTACTTTTTGTATTGTCTGAGATGATTTGTATAGTTTCTTTCTGTCTGAGTGACTTTATTATTCGATGATAATTGTTCTCATTTGCTGCGAACTTTGGCTTGCACTCTTACTTGAACTAACGATGTTGCTCACAGCGTGAAATGATGGAGTTTTGTTTTTGCGCTATGCTACATTTTGGGTTTCCTGTCTGCCTTAGAGTGTTGGTTAAAGTTCAAGATTGGATACGAAATGAATCGAGTTTACCGAGTCAGGTATGCACAATGAACAAGCATCACTAGCGATCCAATTGCTAGCTTTTATAGGTGCCCAAAATATTCAGTATTTTCTAATAGCTCTTTAAATAGCGCTGGTTTGATCTCTTTTTCGTAACTTGTTAGGAGTTGTGGTCGCGGTTCGAATCCCGCTGAGGGTGTTGATAAGACCAATGCGAGGTCGAAACTGCAGACCACTGGTGCCTAGGGATGAGAACAACTTTTGGGAAAGCAAGGCTATGTGAAATTCAATGGAAACGTCAGCTTAACTCATATCATCGTGGCTGAGAACAACTTTTGGGAAAGCAAGGCTATGTGAAATTCAATGGAAACGTCAGCTCAACTCATATCATTTAGAACAACTTTTGGGAAAGAAAGGCTATGTGAGATTCAATGGAAAAGTCAGCTAAACTCATATCATTATGTTTTTGGGAAAGCAAGGCTATGTGAAATTCAATGGAAACGTCAGCTCAACTCATATCATTGTGGGAAAATCTTTGGGAAAGCAAGGCTATGTGAAATTCAATGGAAAAGTCAGCTAAACTCATATCTGCTATATCATATTCTTTTTGTGAAATTCAATGGAAACGTCAGCTCAACTCATATGATTGTGGGAAAATTCGTTGGGAAAGCAATACTATATGAAATTCAATGGAAACGTCAGCTCAACTCATATCATTGTGGGAAAATTCTACTTGCAAGGCTATGTGAAATTCAATGGAAAAAGTCAGCTTAACTCATATCATTGTGGGAAAATTCTACTACCATTCCCTTCATTTACACGAAATAGGGTGAATACATCTCATTACACTGATTTACTGGTAGTCTCGAAACCCTACTTTAATACATTTATTATAATTTCCAGCATCGGACCTTTTCGCTAACCTCGTAGTCATCATTCTCAGTGATAGGCGCCACCCTTAGCACAGTTACATCTGTGACGAGTGAAGGCAATCCCCTTGACGAATCTTCTTTTCGACTGTTGTAGAGTCACTCCTCGCCTCTAGTCTTTGTCCCACCTTTCTCTCAACCCTGCTTCATATTGCCCATTTTCCTTTTCCAACCATTTTTTTGCTCTCGTTTTCTCCAATGCAGCCCAAGAGTATGTCGCTTCAAGTGGAGCTAGTAAAGCATAACCATCTTCACCATCGGTTTTAGATGCCATTCACAGGGCTTCTGCGTCATGGCTTCATTTATATTTATTTTTTGAATAAGTTTTCGAGACTACCAGTCCTTCATCAGCTTAAACGGAATATGGTGAAAATAGCTAATATTTCTTTAATTTAATCCCCCTCCGCCCTGCTTGTTAGTTGTTCCCTGCTACACATGAGAATCACTGTCTAGCTGGATGTCTATGCGTTTTTGAATAGCTGATTTATCGTTTTCTAATTTATCATTACTTTTATACACTCAGGTTGATATCTTCATTGTCATGCGATTTCCTATGAGGGTATTATGCAATCAGTCTAATGAGGTTTTTCATTCCCATATAGATTAACTGTCCACTCAGCAATAAATTTTAGTAACCTGGAAATTGACACTTATCACCAAAATAACCGTATAATCATCCCCTTAAAAATCTAGTTGGCTTTTAAAAAAAGGCTTATTGAGGAGGTTTGATCTTTTTTAATTAGTAAGGTTTGTTCTAGGACTAATACTCTGTTATTTATCAAACCATCCTACAACCTAAAGTATTTTGCTTAGTATTCTTCTATTGCTTTACTTTTTCTAATTATTGATATGTTTATTACGGTTTTTTTGAATATCGTAGGTTAAAACTAGTGAAGCTCTAGTAAAGTTTTAGCGTTGCCGCCTTGAACTCCAAGATTAAACTATCTTTTATTATTAACCGGATATAAACGTATATACTTTATTACAAGCTCTTCTGAGATTCAGTAGAGAATTACATCACGTTTCGATTCGCCATTAAATGCAGGTAACCACTAAGTTGTCTCCTGTTTACACTTGTATTTTCGATAGCCATTTATATAATTCTCTACTTTGCTTCAAGTATTTTTGAAATTTAACTTTGCATAATTAGTACATAATTGATTGAATTTATGTACGGTTGTTTTTGCTGAGTTTATTAGTGAATTATCTAGAGCTCTGCTAAGGATAAATATGTACTCCTTAATCCTTTCTTTCACTTTACCCCTATTACACTTTTTTTTAAATTTCTCTTGCATTCCTACTCAGGCGTTCCGATCCGCCCTCCCATCCAAACACGCTACAAGTTACCTCTCTTCAACTGGACAGTGCTGCGACATCAACAGCTCAAGGGCACTGTCTTCGTTGGCATGGATGATGAAGCTTTGCTTAGTCGACTCGAAATGAATCGTTTTGAGGAGATCTTCCGACTTTCTTCTCGAGCCATTGACTCGGGCGAGAATAATATTACAACAGGCGGACTGACTGGTGGCTCCACTAGCACTGGCGGTGCTGCTGGTATTGGCGGGAGCAGTGCCTATGACGGAGATGCTACAGAGTCCGTGCGACGAGCTTCTGCTAGACGACCGGAAAAAAAGAGTCTCATTGACACTAATCGTCATCGGTACGTTGTCATTCCAGGAGCTTACAAAATTTCGCGTTTTATTCCAAAGCCCGGTTTCCATTTAACAATCTCATATATGAACTGTATTCACACTATTTCGTGAGGGGGATGAGGGATCGGTAGCTAAATTTTCCTACAATCATAATAGGAGATCTTATGTTTTCATTGAATTTCACATAGTCCCGCTTCCCAAAAGGTATTATCATCCAGGCAGAAATGGCCGGCAGTTTTGCCCTCACTTAGGTCTTGTTGCCACTCCCAGCCGGACTCTAACCGTGATATTGCAGTGTATAATCTCGATATTCGTGGTAGTTTGGCGTAGTTATTAACGTGTCGAGATTATGCTCTGCGTTATCGCGCCTCGAGTCCCACTGGGGGTGCTGACAAGGCCTAAGCGAGTTCGAAACTGCAGTCCCTTCCTGCCTGGATGATGATATTTTTTGGGAAGCAAAGCACTGGAAACGTAAGGTCTACCCATATCACTGTGGGCAAACTCAGCGACCAGTCTTACATCAACTTAGCGAAATGAGGTTAATACACCTCAAAGATATGATTTACCGATAGTCTCGAAAACATACTTGTAAACGAAATATTACAACCTTATTATTTCAGCCAAGCTAATGCTGCCATAGGCTCTAGATTAAAATTGCACTTAGCAGGCTTGGTTACGCATATCCGACTGTAGCCAACAACTAGCTTTATGCTTTGTGATTTTAAACACTGATTAAACTTGAAAATTCAGAAGATGGTGACATTTCGCAATGGACTTTCTTCATTGCATTTTGATTGCGTGCCAACCTACACTCACATAAAATAGACTATGGCGATGAGGAGGACAGGCTGAAACAGGTTATTATTCTGGCCTATGCCTCTCAACAAATTGAACCAAATTCCGATCATTTATGTGAAACTTATTCAATTATGGATAAGATATCCCATGGTTCTTTAAGTGATTAGTTTAACTAAATACAGCATGCTGAATGAACTTTTGTTAACCACGTTAGGAATCAGTCCCATGTCGGATGTTTGCCTTAGTTTTCGCCCTTTATACTCTGCTGCTCTGATATTTATTTTTATATTCACCACATAAAAGTATATTTGTTTCATTTTTCTAGCGCAATCTATCATTCATCTTTGATTCTCTTCATTGTATCACTTGTCTGATATTATTACTACTACTACTATATTTGATCTTGCTAAAAGTTAACCTACATTTAAAGCATATTCTCTTAGCTTTGCATTTTTTTCTTTGGTGTTGTAATTCAGTCCAGGTACTGGATTTTCCTCCAGAATATTACTTTTAATCAACTTTTTGTCTACATACAGGGTCAAAATTGATATAGCTTCCATGAGTTTCAAATTTTCAGGATTTTTATAGATATAAGAGACCGAGGCTAATAAGTCTGGCAAGTATTTGCGACAGTTACCTGGCAAACATGTAGATCCTTTCATCGATTAAAGATTTTCTCAGCTCTGCGAAGAACTTCACAGCTTTAGCTTCCGTGATCCTTAACATATTGATCTCTTAGGCTTGTTGCAGTGAAAGTGTTTAATGAAGCGATTCGAAGGTTGGTCCCATTTGAGGACGATTTGGTTTTCTGTAACATTTTAGTAGTCGCTGTTTCTGAGGCAATCTTCTTGGATTCCAGTGAAAATGTGCTAAGTTTTCCTCCGTCATATGACGGGCATCATCATAGGATATCACCATTCTTAGACACTGGCTTATCCCAAAATGCTGTACATATGCTATATAGCTATGCTTTTTGATTATCTATAGGGTGATTTAATTAGTTTAATCTATATGCCGACCTGCGCTTATTTGCCTACATGCTTTCTTATATGTACGCAAACAACAGTACTAGTTCAAGGCAATTAGAGCAAAATGTAACATCTGGTCTTGGTCGTCAAAATTTCATAGCTACTACCACCCCTATTTCTCTAAGTTTCCGATTGCGTGTTGTCGCACGTGCGTCCTGTTAACAGAATGAGCTTTTTGATTCGTGGGAGATAGAAATAGTGATCTAAACTGTAAATAAAAGTTATCCTAATTAGAACAATAGCAACAATAGGCTCATGGGGGCACATAAACATCCAAATACAGGCACATGTACGGGCTTCGAGATTGACATATTACTTTAACTAACAAAATCACTATACCTCATCAAAAACCATAGTTATATGGTATATGTGCAACATTTCGGGATAACCTGGCGAGTTTTATTGACTCTAGCTTTAATATGTTTGTAAGTTATTGTTCTGAAGATGTCCATCATATGATAGGCCAAAACTTAGCACGTTTTCACCGGAACACTGAGAATTTGTCTCAGATATATCGTAAACAAGATTGATACAGTCAAGCTAATCGACAGCTGGTCAAGAGGGATCCGCCTTCGTCTTCTGTTGGGATTGGCCTTCACATCACTTTGCCACACACTTTAACTCAAAATGGAAGTGAACTCCACATTTTTAAACAGGAGGTTCCCCAAAACCCAATTTTTCTTTCGAATGAACATTTTGAATATTGCATTTTCGCGATAACGAGCCTATATCTGAATTATAGAAGTACAGAAGTTGTTTGAACTTGTTTTCGCAACTAAGTCATATTGGTAGGAAGATCTAGGGGAACGCACCTTGTCCGGAGTCCATAGTATGTATGATAATTTCCAGAGTCGGACCGTGGACGTGGTACATTCCCAGACGTTTCGCCGGCATCATAGTCGGCATCGTCAGTGAGCCTTGCCACTCCTAGCAACACGGCCATACAAAAGGCCACACCATCCTGGTCTTCATATCTTTCACTAAACTATGTAAGTACATTGAAGATGG